GGGGGGGTCCCAGTGTCCTTCAGGTTTCCCTGAGGGCTGAACCCCTCCAAAAAGTCCCCCTGAAGCCCCCCATGTCCCAGTCCCTCCCAGGTCTTCCTGTCCCTCATGTCCCCCTGTGAGCTGTCCCTGCCCCTCCTTAAGTTGCCTTGAGAGGTCCCCCTGTCCCCAGGGACTGTCCCTGTGCCCCCTAAGCCCCACTGGGGTGTCCCCCAAGTCCCCCCCACCCAAGGCCTGACCCTCTCCCCAAAGTCCCCCTGAGGGCTGTGTCCCTGTGCTCCCCAAATCCCCCATGTCCCTAAGGTCCCTCTGAGGGCCATCCCTGTGCCCCCCATGTCTGTCTGAGGGTTCTTCCTGTGCCCCCCATACCCCCTTGTCCCTCAGGCCCCATCCCTGTGTCCCCAGAGCCCCCCATGTCCCCCAGGCCTCTCTGCAGAGCTGTCCCTGCCAAGCAGGGGGGGCACAGGGATTGGGGGGGACACAGGGATTGGGGGGGACATGTAGAGGAGGGGAAGAGGGAACAGGTGGAAAGGGGGGACACGGGAAGGAGGGGTGAGGGAAGGACTGGGGACATGGAGAGGCAGGGACAGGAGGGAGGGAAGGATCAGGGACACGGGGGTTGGGGGGACACGGGGGCAAGGTGGATGCAAACACCCTTACACAGAGGCTGCTGAAACATAACATCACTCAGACCTTCATTCCAACCCCAAAATGGAGGCCACCTCTGCCACAAAACCCTTCCTTTGACAGCAGGAAGAAGGGAAATAACCCCCCAAGTCTCCCCAACAAATCCCTCCAAAGTTGCACTCAGCAGAAAAAACAAAAAGAAAACAAAACAATTTGCACTTCCCAATCCTGACCTTTATTAGTTACAGTTTCAGGTGGGGGAGGAAGGGATGGGGATACAGTTCTTGCCTCTAGATCTTGTTGAAGGCAGCAATGTCCACGCTCTGCACCTGAAAAGGAACAAAAGCAGCAGCCAGAGGTCACCCCAGGGTTTGGAGATGTTGATTCCAGACCTTCAAAATGCTCACAAAGCTCCAGCACAGCCCAGGTCCCTCCCAGGCCCAGGTCCCCAGCTGGGAGAAGAGGACTTGAAAAAAATTGTTCTTTAATACTCAGCAATCTGTCCCAACCCTGGGCTGGCTCCTGGATGCATCTTTAGCCATGGATCTTAACACCATTAAGATGCAGGGGCACAAATTCCTGATTTGCTCCAAATAGAAGCAGAAGACTGAGAAAAATGAATACAAGTGAGTATGTAACAAAAGCTGCTCCCCCAACAGCAGGACTCCTGAGCCTTCTGTCTATCACCAGGCACAGGGCTGGAGCCCCTACTGGCATTTCCATGAAGGAGGAAGGATGGAGGCATCTCCTCCAGCTTCAACCACCAAGGGTGGACATTTGTGTGTGACTACCCTGGTGGTGCATAAAAGCAGGAGTTCTCCAAAAGCAGCAGCTGGTGGGGGCTGGATAAGCAGCCAAGAGCCTGCAAATGGCTCCAGAAAATATCAGAACCTTTTGGGTTGGAAGGGACCTTAAAGATCATGTAGACAACTCCAAGACACCTGCACCAGTCAGCCTTAAAAAAAACCAGAAGACTATATTTAAATATACTACATGAGTGTCTTGGCAAGAAGACACCATCAATTCCACATGGTTTTCCTTCAAAAAAACCCCAATTTGCCAAAATCTGCAAATGAACCCACAGGTCATTACAGAGCTAGTGGAAAAAGACTTACATAGTCTTCAAACTTGGTGATCTCCTCCTCCAGGATGTCTGTCCCCACTTTCTCATCCTCCACCACGCACTGGATTTGGAGCTTCTTGATGCCATAGCCCACTGGGACCAGTTTGGAGGCTCCCCACACCAGCCCATCCATGTGGATGGACCGGACACATTCCTCCATCTTGGCCATGTCAGTCTCATCATCCCACTGGAAAAGTGTAAAGTAGGAACTTGAGTGTTCTCCTCCAGGTCACCATTGGACCCAAGTGACTTAGTCAACACTAAACCTCTTGGTATGTTTCAGCTGATCGAAGCTGTACCTCCACAGAACCCTTTTTGGTTGGAAAAGCCCTCCAAGATGATCAAATCCACCCATTCCTCCAGCCCTGCCAAGGCCACCACTGCCCCGTGTCCCTCAGCACCATCTCCAGGGCTTGGAAACCCCTCCAGGGATGGGGACTCCCTCCCTGCCCTGGGCAGCCTGGGCCAGGCCCTGACAACCCTTGCCAGGCAGGAATTGTTCCCCAGATCCAACCTCTCCCTCCCCTGGCACAACTTGAGGCCATTCCCTCTTGTCCCATCCCTGGTTCCTGGGGAGCAGAGCCCGACCCCCCTGGCTCCAACCTCCTCTCAGCAGCTGCAGAGCCAGCAGGTCTCCCCTCAGCCTCCTTTGCTCCAGGCTGGACACCCCCAGCTCCCTCAGCTGCTTATCACAAGTTCTCCAGACTCTTCTCCTTCTGCTCCAGCCCCTTCCCCAGCTCCCTTGCCCTTCTCTGGACACCCTCCAGCCTCTCCATGTCCTTCTTGCAGTGAGGGGTTCAAAACTGACCCCAGGATTTGAGATGCCTCCTCCCCTGTGCTGAGAATAGGACTATCCCTGCCCTCCCCACAAGAACTTGTGCTCCAGACCCTTCACCTTTTCTTGGCCATTCTCACCAGCATTAACCAATGGGTTGATTCAAGCTAAATCTGACTTGGCAGCAACACTGCAGAGCAGGTTGGTTTGATTCCACCTATAGGCCCTGCAGATGCAGGAGGATCCTCCCTGCAGCAAGAGAGGTGCTCCCTTTAAAGTGACTTTTGCCAAAGGGCATCTCTCTGAACATTAATCAGCCCAAAGTTTTCGTTCTACCACAACAACTGGGGTTTATTCCCATCTTTAGGGCATTTATCATGGAATGGTGAAGGTTGGAAGGGACCTTATAGATCATCAGGTTCCAACCTCCCTGCTATGAGCAGGGACACCTCCCACCAGACCAGGCTGCACAAGCCTCATCCAACCTGCCCTTGAACACCTCCAGGGAAGGGGCTTCCACAGCCTCCCTGGGCAACCTGTTCCAGTGCCTTCCTGCCCATCTTTTCTTCAATGAGAAAGAGCTACTCCTGCTCAGGTGAACCTGAGGGAACATCCTGCACTTGCCAAGCTGCAAGGGGAAGGGCAGCAGGGTGGAGGCTACAGATCCCAGCTGCAAAATCCCACCTCCCCCCTGACTCTTTGTTTGGAAATCATAGAATGGTTAAGAGTTAAAAGGGACCTCTACAGGTCATCCAGTCCAACCCCACCACAATAAGCAGGAGCATCTCACACTAGACCAGGTTGCTCAGAGCCCCATCAAGCCTGACCTTGAATGTCTCCAGGGATGGGGCCTCCACCACATCTCCAGGTAACCTGTTCCAGTGACCCACCACCCTCATATTAAATAACTTCTTTCTAATGTCCAACCTAAATCTGCTCTTTTCTAGCTTGAAACCATCACCCCTTGTCCTATCATTACACATCCTTGGGAGCAGCTCTTCCCCAGCCTTCTCACAGGCCCTTTCAGGCACTGGAAGGAGGAATTCTGTAGGTCCTATCTACACCAGCCCCCTTGGGGCTCAGGAGCTCCCCCCACTTCAGCTACTCACTGGCTTCACATCCAGCAGGATGGAAGACTTGGCAATCAGACCAGGTTTCTTGGCCTTCTTCTCCGCATACTGGCGCAGCCTTTCCTCCCGGACTTTGGCAGCCTCTTGGTCTTCCTCTTCATCATCACTCCCAAAAAGGTCAATGTCATCATCATCATCTTCCTCTGCAGCAGCTGGTTCAGCTTTCTTTGCTGGTGAAGCTGATGGGAGCTCCACCTTTTTAGAGGGAACACTGAAAGGTTCCACTTTCTTCATCAGGGTGACGTCCATTCAAGGTTGCATGAAGGAAAAAGGGGAGAAGATTAACCTGGAGGTGAAGCACCTCCAGGTGCAGCACCTGGGAGAAGCCCAGGAAGAGAAGCCTACACTGCTCAAGATAGTGAGAAGATGGCTCAACACCATGTCATTTGGGTGAAGAATCAGCTACTGGCCATCAAAATAGGACATTTGACCAGATGGACCTTTGAAACAGAGCAGATTTTAGAGCAAAAGCCACCAGGTAGCCAAGAGCTGATCCTCCTCCTAAGGACTCAGGATGTCCAGACCCTGAGAGTCCAGGTGGGACAGCAGCTGGGAACAAAACCAAGTGTCTTCTCCTGACACGAGGATGACTGCAGAGACCACCAGCACTGCTGGTAGCTCATCTTTCAACCAACACCTAGAGCTGATCACACTGGTGCCAAACACTCAGCTCCCTCAGAGTTTTATCTTAATTAAATTAAATTCCTTCTTATAGGGAATTTTTTTTTTTAAATTCTGCTAATTTATGGTAACGATGCCACATTTTACCCGGTGCCTGCTGAGAAACCCACAGCACCCTGAGCTAAATGCAGATCAAATCAACCAAAACCAACCTATACAATCAACCAAAACTCCCACAGATCTGCAGTAGATGAAGTTGCTGGTTTTGGGGGCAAGAACATTCCTCCTTCCACGTCCTGTTTGGGGAAGATGAAGCAGCAGCAGCTGCCAAAATGGATGGAAAAAACCCCTGCAAATTCATCCCAACTAGGAGCTTTTCTTCCTCCTCAGGAGATCTTGGAAAATAACCTGGCACTTTGGGATTGTGAAGCACTGAAGGACAGCACTTTGTCCAAGCTCACCTGGGTTGGAGGAACTGGTGAGGGCTGGTGAGAGGTAGATGACTTCTCCAGAGCATTCAGGCGGCTTTCCAACCTGAAGATGGACATCTGAAGGTCTGAGACAACTGTCAGAAGAAAGGGGGGGGGAAGGGAATAAAAAGAACCACCTTGTAGGTTCTGCATCAGGTCTTCACCACAGGAAAGCTGGGGAGGGACTTCTACAAGGGCTTGGAGTGAGGGGACAACAGGGGATGGATTCAAACTGGAAGAGGGGAGATTTAGGTAAGACATGAGGAGAGTTGGGGTGTTCAGCCTGGAGAAGAGAAGGCTCCAGGGAGCCCTTAGAGCACCTTGGAGGAACTGGTGAGGGCTGGTGAGAGGTAGATGACTTCTCCAGAGCATTCAGGCGGCTTTCCAACCTGAAGATGGACATCTGAAGGTCTGAGACAACTGTCAGAAGAAAGGGGGGGGGAAGGGAATAAAAAGAACCACCTTGTAGGTTCTGCATCAGGTCTTCACCACAGGAAAGCTGGGGAGGGACTTCTACAAGGGCTTGGAGTGAGGGGACAACAGGGGATGGATTCAAACTGGAAGAGGGGAGATTTAGGTAAGACATGAGGAGAGTTGGGGTGTTCAGCCTGGAGAAGAGAAGGCTCCAGGGAGCCCTTAGAGCACCTGCCAGTGCCTGCAGGGGCTCCAGGAAAGCTGGGGAGGGACCTGGAACAAGGGCAGGGAGGGATGGGAGCAGGGGGAAGGGTTTCCAGCTGGCAGAGGGAGCTGGAGCTGAGATGTGGGGGAGAAATTCTGGGCTGTGAGGGTGAGGAGAGCCTGGCCCAGGTTGCCCAGGGAAGCTGTGGCTGCCCTATCCCTGGCAGTGTTGAAGGGCAGGTGGGAACTAGATGGTCTTTAAGGTTCCTTCCCACCTGAACCACTCAGTGATTCTATGATTCAGTCAGGAAAAATTTGCTTCTGCTCAGACTGGGCTTTAAAACCCACCAGTTGCCCCAGGTCAAGATGGGGCAAAGCTCTGATGGAGACACTTGCCACATGCTCACCTTCCAAGAGACAAACCCAACAAGGGACACACCCCAGCAGAAGCAGGACCCCATCCAAGAAGCTTCTCCCACTTACCACTGCGGAGGTTTTGATTTTCTACCTCCAGGTGAGAAATTCTGGCAAGGAGCTCATTTTGGTCACCAGCAGGCCCAGGAGAGGTGGTGTTTGCACTCTGCAAGAAGGAAAACCAAGATGGAACAAAGCTGGTCAACCACCCACCCCCAGCTCAGAGGTTCAGAGAAGCAAAACCAGAGTCATGACTTCAGGGAAAGAAGAGAAACTGGAGAGCTGATCTAGGAACATTTTGATTCTAGCTCTACAGGGGGAAGCATCTCAAGAAGCTTCAGCTGGCAGAGAGGAGCAAAGGGTAAATTTCTCTGCAGTGTGAGGTCACAGGCTGCCACAAAACACACAAGTTTGGAGATGTTTGGAGCTGGGCTCCTCAGAAAAACTGAGGCACAGAAGAGACCTCCCCAGTGTCACACAGCAAGTCCCTGGGGAAGCTGGAAAGAGCTCCTGGCATCTTTATACTCCCAACTTCCCCAGTCCAGCCTTTAATTCCTCTCAAAACCACCTGAACCCATTTCAACACATCCTGAAGAGCAATTACACCCCATCCAGCTTCAGAAGTGTTTAAATGGCAAAAAAGTTGGGTTTTAAAAATATTTTTAAGGAGGCCCCACCCTAGAAATTCCAACCAAAGGGAAAGAAACCCAGAGGATTTCACATTGAAGTGTCATTTAGAACTGAATACAACAAGAGAGGAAATAAGTCATGCCCTTCCCAGTGCACCCTGCAGTGATGATGTGGTTCTTGGTTGCTTAGAGATCTTGAGATCTCAGATGATCACTTAGGATGGAGGAGAACAGGGGTCAGAATGAGGAACAGGTGGCACAGGGAGAGCAGGGCTGGGAGATGCCAGGCCCTGGGGTGGAGCAGTGGGAGCTGCTCTAGCAGGAAGGTCAAAGAGACTCTTCTTCACCCACCCAAATAGAAACAGGGGCCAAAAAAGCATCATGGAGCTCATATTGGAGGCAGGCTCAGGAACACAAAGGCAGATCTGCAGTCCCTGGTCAGCCCCAAACTTGCACCCTCAGTGAGTTTGCTGACCACACCAAGCTGGGTGGTGACACACTGCAAGGGAGGGGGACATCCAGAAGGACCTGGAGAGGTGGGCAAACTGTATGAAGTTCAACAAGGTCAAGTGAAAGGTCCTGCACAGGGGTTGGGGCAACTCCAAGCACAGACACAGACTGGGGAGCAAATGGATCTAAAACAGCCCTGAGGAGAAGGACTTGGGGGTGTTGGGTGACAAGAAGCTCAACATGAGCCCAGAAATCCCTCCATGACGTGGGCTGGATCCCCAGCAGCATGGCCAGCAGGGCCAGGGAGGGGATTGTCCCCTCTGCTGAGACCCCCTGCAGGGCTGGAGCCAGGCTGGGGTCCCCAGCACAGGAAGGACACGGAGCTGTTGGAGAGAGGCCAGAGGAGGCCCCAGAGATGCTGGGAGGGCTGGAGCAGCCCTGCTCTGGAGCCAGGCTGGGAGAGCTGGGGTGTTCAGCCTGGAGAAGAGAAGGCTCCAGGGAGACCTGAGAGCACCTTCCAGGGCCTGAAGGGGTTCCAGGAAAGCTGGGGAGGTGCTTGGGACAAGGGCAGGGAGGGATGGGAGCAGGGGGAAGGGTTTCCAGCTGGCAGAGGGAGCTGGAGATGAGATATGAGGGAGAAATTCTGGGCTGTGACGGGGTTTGGAGAAGCCTGATCTGGTGGGAGGTGTCCCTGCCCATGGCAGGGGGGTTGGAATGAGATGATCTTTAGGCTCCCTTCCCAGCCAAACCAGTCCATGACTCTGTGACACCAGGCTGGCAGACCTCAAAACCCCAAGCAGAAGACCCTATTACATAAAGTGAGCTACACCACGTGCTGAAGGACAAACACTTCTCATCACAAGGATGGAGAACTTGGCCCACCTCTCTGAGGCAGGGCTGTCCTTGCCCTACAATGTCCTCTCAACATCACACACCCAGCTCCATCCATGCACAGGTGACTTACAGTTGAGCGGCCCGACTGCCTCTTGTGACGGGCAGGAGCTTCTTTACTACGAGGAACTGTCTTCTGCTGCAAAGGGCAAAAGGTTTGGGGGATGTTTTGGTTCAACAGGGAAGGTGGAAAAGGATTTAACTCATGCTGGAGACATCAGTTCAAGTGCAGGAAGCAGATCCACATGCAGGACAAGTGGTCAAGCCATGAGCTACAGCCTCACACAAGCACAAAGCTTGCCCAGCAACACTGATCCATGAGCTCTGTCATCTCCCAGGTAAAACACCTCAGTGCCTGCAGGAAGGTCACACAGCTGGGTGGCAGAACTAGGCTGAGATGCCTAGAGCATCATCCCTCAAGTCACCTCATCTCTTAAAATCAGAGGTGGAGCAGGTAGGTGCACTGCTGCCAAGGTCTCCTCTCAATAGATAAAAACTCATACTTGACAGAAGAACATGCAAAGTCAGCAAGACTTTTAAAAAGTCCCCAGTAAAGCACCACAACAGCTGGATGAGACCCCTGCAGGGGCTTCCATCCTCACTTGGCCACGAGAAGAGAGGCTGCTGGCCACGGTGGGCTTATCCCACTGGGCCACCCTGCAACACCAAGGACAAATATGAAAGCTCAGATCAACTCCTTGCCCGAACTCTCCTGTCCTAGTCAGACCATCAGGGCCAAGATCTACGTTAACTTCACTGAAACCCTGGCAACTCTCACATCCATCCCCACCCCTTGAGAAGGCTCTTCTTGGTTTGACTCAGGAGCTGTGACACCTGCAAAAGTAAGATGCAGAGCTGGGATTTTATCCCCCTCCATAACAGCTGGCCCAGCTGCTCAGCAGGCACCACAGATGTCTGGCACTCTGAGGTCTGAGCCCAAAGGTGACACGTGCCAGCAGGCCCTGGGGTGACCCAGGACACATCCATGGATGTTCAAGACTCTGCAAGGTGGCTACAGCTTGGCCAGGGTACCCTCAATCTCAGGACAATCCTGCCTGCTTCATGTGGTGGTGTCACTAAGGGGAAGGGTTGGAGAAAATCACAGACATTTTCCTAAAAAAAACCCACCAAAACCTCATTTTGTTACTGCAACAGAACTTGGGAGCTGTATAAAACCCCAGGACACCAACCTAGCTGTCTGCACAGCTCTGAGGAGCACCCAGGGAAGTGAGCAGAGCAAGGATGAGCTCTGCAATGCGCCAGTTCCTTCCCTTTTCACCCCCACTTTGCCAGCTGGCACTGAGCCTGCAGGTGAAAAGACATCCAGGCTGCAAATGCAGATCAAGAAGCTCAGAGGAGAGATGGCTGCACGTGGCCAGTTGTGGAGCCACCAACATAAGGAGGACATGGAGTTGTTGTAGTGAGTCCATGAAGATGACAGGAGGACTGGAGCAGCTCTGCTCTGGAGACAGGCTGGGAGAGTTGGGATGTTCAGCCTGGAGAAGAGAAGGCTCCAGGGAGACCTTAGAGCCCCTGCCAGTGCCTGAAGGGGCTCCAGGAAAGCTGGGGAGGGACTTGGGACAAGGGCAGGGAGGAATGGGAGCAGGGGGAAGGGTTTCCAGCTGGCAGAGAGAGCTGGAGATGAGATGTGAGGGAGAAATTCTGGGCTGTGAGGGTGGGGAGACCCTGGCCCAGGTTGCCCAGAGAAGCTGTGGTTGCCTCATCCCTGGCAGTGTTGAAGGGCAGGTTGGATGGGGCTTGGAGCAGCCTGGGCTGCTGGGAGGTGTCCCTGCCCATGCAGGGGGGTCAGAACCTGATGATCTTTAAGGTCCCCTTCCAACCTTCACCATTCTATGAAAAACAAACCTATTTCATGGATGTGGAGATACAAGACCTTTCCCCTCAGGTGGGTCCAGCTGAACTCTGGAAACATGGAATGTTTAGCCATGGCTGGATACACAAAAGTGACCTGTGGGGGAGTGATGCTCAAGAACTAAGAGAGGTTTTTCCCACCCAAGAGGAGCAGGATGGGTACTGGCTGGTTTCCTACAGAAGGTGTGACCTTGCCCTGCACACAGGTCTGTTCCTAAACACTTGAGCAAGAGCAGAGGTTTTCCGGAAGCTTTTCTTGTTTGAAACCCACACAAACGTGCTTTGTGAGAGGGAGCCTGGACAGAGAGAGGAACAAGAGAGCTTCAGTCCCCCACCAGCCACCCACCCAGAGTCATCCCTTTTGTCTTCTCTACCCCAGGGAGAGGTAGGATGTGAGAGTTCAGTCCTGTTGGACTTGTTGCTGACCTGAGAGCAAGTCACTCTCCTTGCCTCAGGTCCCCCAGCTGGAAGACCTTTCTCCACGTGTGGTCTCCATGCCACCAGCTGCAGTACTGCAGTAATTAACAACCTTGGTATCTTGTAGAGCATCAGTCATTGAACATATGTCAACTGGAGAGGACTGTTCAAAGCACACGTGACCACTCAAACCGGGATGACAGGTATGTGCAAACAAATGTTTCCAGCATCAGACCTTTGTACCTTTCTTCAGGAGGTAACAAACCACTGCCTCAGCCCTTCTCCTGCTCACCCACACCTTGCAGAACACCAGCTGAAGCAGAGCTGAAACCAGCCCTGGCTGAATTTGACAGCAAAAGGAAGACTCTCATCTTCCATCTCCACACCTTACAAGAGCCAACTCTTCACTTCCTCCATCTTCAGACTCCTGACAATAACTGTGCATCTTCAGGTGGAAGGTAAGACCAAACCCTGACCATAAAAACAAGCTTCACTACGACTCTGTAGGACACACAGTATAAATCTGGCTTTCTGAAACACAAAGTCTAAGCATGTTCTGAAGTCAAGCCTGCCCTGTGTCCAAGATGAATGATGAACTTTCCAAAAACGTGAGCCACAAAAGCTGATGTTTCAGGTTTCTTTCTCAACAGCTCAGCCTTTCTAACCCACTCATGAACACAGAAGATCTGATGGTGGTTCCAGGGCAGAGAACTGGCAGTGTGGAAAAATTAAAAAGCTTGAATTCTCTGGGGTATTGTGCAAGTCAGAGCAAGGCAGGATCAGTTACACTAAGTTCCTTAGCTAAGGGACTACGAATTTTGGGAGCAGAATGGCAGCTGCAGTTTAGATACACGATGGAGTGGCCCAGCAATGCAGCCTAGGGTGCACAACAGGGATTCTCCCATACACTTTGTGCACAACATGATGCTTTTCCTTCAAGCCTCTACTGGGGAGTCTCAGCTCACTTTTTGCAACACCCCAGATTCCAGTTTTAAGGCCCTATGGCTCAGTCCTGACCTTAAATCCTCAAGCCCACCAGGCTTTCTTCACAGGAACAATAACAAAAAAAAAAAATCCAGGATGAATTTTCATATTAAAACACATCCCACAGGGTTGGAAAGGAGTTAATAACAGTCTCCAATTCCTGGCCTGGTGCTTTGCCAGTTCCCCCATGACAGGGCCTGGGTGATCCACTTCTACATGCTTCTGACACAAAGAAGCTCTTTAATAGGAGTGACAGGGCCAGGGTATGAAACTCATCTTTGGCAAATCACAAATTATTCTACCAAATGGCAAATATGCCTCCAGGACAGAGCAGCAGCACTCCCAGATCATTTGTCTTTAGGTTTCCTGGCCCTACTCACCACATCCAACCTCTGCTCCTGGAGGAAAGACAGGTCTTGGAGGAAGCAGCCACCTGGCCCAGTCTGAAAAGGTTGGGTCTTTGATGAAAAGATTTAATGTAAAGACACAAAAGGTCTTTCCAAAGGCATTTCAACTCTTATCAGTGCAGAGTTCTCCAACCCTGTGGCTCATTTCTCCCTGTATTTGTTTTACTAAAGTCCAAACTAAAACTCTTTGATAGGGACTGATGGTCTCTACAAGCCCAAACATCATTTCAGATGTGAATTTAAATAAGCTAGTTCAAGAAAATCTTCCTTAGGCTGTTGGCTGAACTACTGAAATAAGGAACCAGTACTAGGAAACTTCCAATATTTTCCTTCTCAGTAGGCTTTGCTTGGTTTTTTATTTTATTATTACTAAATTGTCCCAATTTTCCACTGATTCCCATGACCACTGAATCTAACCAAATTTAACCCTTTTCCACCAATTTTGCCCTCCTCTTCCAAGTACTGAGCATCTTGGATTGCTCAGTTGGAGCAGTTGCAGAATCCAGTTCAACAGGCAGAGGGAAAGCAATTAGCCAAACTCCTTCACATTCATCCCAAATATCCACAGCTCCTTTCTGCTTGTGTTAAGGAGGAATATGAAATATTCCCCTTGAGAAAGGCTTAATTCCCTGTTTTTGCACTGGTCTAGAGAGAGACTGAGGGTTTTGAACACCCCAAGAGGGAGTTATGAGGCCAAATCAATAAGGGATTGATACCTGTGGATGAAAAGTAAGGGCAGGTACAAAGAAGTCCCACTGCAGAGGTAAGAAATCAAGATGCATGGGATGAATTTTCTTCACCCATAAACCAGTCCACTTACTGATTTAGGATCTCACCTTCCTCTTGAAAAATTAAGAGCTTTAGCAGTGCTGTCTGGGCATGCAGTGATAGGACAAGGCTAATGGTTTTAAACTGGAAGAGGGGGGATCTAGGTTAGATATTAGGAGCAAGTGAATTCTCTGTGAGGGTGATGAGATATGGAACAGGTTGTCCAGGGAAGCTGTGGCTGCCCCATCCCTGGAAGTGTTGAAGGGCAGGTTGGACGAGGCTCTAAGCAACTTGATTTAGGGAGGTGTCCCTGCCCAGGCAGGGGGGTTGGATCTAGATGATCTTTAAGGTCCCTTCCAACCCAAACCACACATCAGCACATAAACACCTCCAGAAAAGATGTGACTGAACTTTTACAGGATGATCCACACCTCCAGCTGGCAGCCAAGCTGGATTCCCTGGATGCAGCAGGTGGAAGTAGTCCTTTGTTTTTTGCACATACCCTAACTGAAAGCCACACAGGAAAAAGAAGGTGGCAGCTCATTGTACCCCAAGAGAGAGACACACATTCCTG